TTTAATCCTAAAAACTATATGTTACTGATCAATAGATAAGCACATGTGATTCTCAGTTGTGAACAGAAACATTTTTATTATAACAGAAACATTATTCATTTCTATTGAGTTGTTAATTGGATACGTTGGCCCAACGTTAGGCCAACGTATGCAACAAATATGCACACGTTGGCCCAACGTTGGGCCAACGTGAGCATATTGCAGTTATGTTGTGCATATTATGATGTGGTTGGGCCAACGTTGGGCCAACGTATTACTACCAACGCCAACTATGTGCCAACAAACCAACGATTCCCCTACGTTGGCCCAACGTATGCTTGCTATCTGGGCACGTCGTATACCGAAATCTATCAACAGGTCACATTGCCGGGGGTGAAATCCCAAATAATCGGGTCAAGACTTGCTTCGTTGTTAGCAGTCACAGTGTACAAATTATGCGATCTGAGATACTGTTAACGCACTTGCCTTTGTCAAAGGATACATTTAAGTAGAAATAAGAATGAAGAAGAGACGAAATTTATGGTGAATATTTTTCTCATTTACACTGTAAACAGTATCAAAGGCTTCACGGAAGCCGGGTGCTTTATATTTAGCTCATTGCTGTAGAATGCTTTCATTCATGCATACGCGATGACACGTTATTTCCCTGATAATGTCGAAACACAGATATGAGTTTCATATGAAAATAATTTTCATCGTTTAAATATTTGTAGGAAAAAGAATGTATGACGTAGAACCTACAGCTCTTTTTGTCTTTTTTGTGACATGTCCTTGGATAATTTTGTTTCCAGACGATATTCCGTAGGGTTTCAGCAGGCATGAAAAGGTTAACATAAATAAATAGTTAATATCATGAAACGGTATATTAGATGTCAATATGCTTCCTTCTTGTTCTTAGTCCGTTGAACCATTGTAAAAGACATGAATGATACAAGTGCTATCAAAACACCGCCAAATGCGATATAAATTTTAGCATCCATGCAGACAAAGTTGGAATAGGCAAAAACGACCGCCATTGCAGCATAGATGGCGCTGCGTATGGTGACGAAAACAGGCCATTTCTGATCTGGGAAGAAGTGTCCAACAACGGCTGAAAATAAAAATAATAAAGTTAAAAAAGTCAAGACAGAGAAGCAGGCATTATATGGGTTCGTTATTTTAAAACGACTGCTTTCTTTACATCATAGAACCTTAATTACGGAAACTTTACTGAGTTGCTCAATATTACAGAGAGAGTTATGGGCGGCCAAAAGGGCAAAAATTCATGTCGTCGATTCAGTTATGTTTCGTCGATTCACTGCCTTCCCATCGATTCAGTTTCAAGTTTAAACGATCCTGTCATAAATTCAACATCTATTTTCATCAATTCAATTGTCAAACATTTCTCATCTACGGTGTATTAAAACCAATGCTCTCACGATTTTCGTCGATCGTGTAACTATTCTCGTCGATCGTGTAACTAATCTCGTCAATCGTGTAACTATTCTCGTCGATCGTCTCATCGATCGATCGCCAGAGGGCGCTGCGGTAGCAACACATGCTTCTGTCTGTCAATCACACGGTAATTTTTAACTCGGCCAGCCATGGTCAGAGTTGAAAACAACTAGAAAATAATGTCCCTACAACCGAATAGATTTTAATTATGAACAATTCAAATTGAAATTGTTGAGAAAATGTTCTTATTTCACTAGCAATCATTTTGCATTCGGAACTCCTCGACAATTTCCGGCTATCTTCCGAACGCATTGAAACTAGTCTCGGATGTATGACAGTAAAAAATGTCGCCTACGCACAACATATGTGATCAGGTCAAGAACCCGGATGGACGGCGCCGCATCACTAATGTATACCGCAATCAAAACAATATAGTTCCCCCAAAACACGTGGATCTAACAAATATGGCGTCATTCGACGAATGTATTGAATATGCACTATCTTCCTGCCCACTTTTTAAAGATCAAGACTTCAAACTACGTGAAAAACAACTGGAAACACTGAGGATATTGTCGAGGAGTTCTGAATGTCCTGTCAGGGCGCCGCCATGTTTATTATTGTTTACATCCGGGTATCTAGAGTAGTTCCAAAATGGCGACGTCTGTCATACGGCCGAGATATGATGACGCAGGAATCAATCGACGGTGAGCCGAGTGGTACGGTGTGTCATCAGTGGAGGTAAGTCAAGACATTTTAGATAAATTCTGTTCGGTTTTCAAAAAATGTGCCCCTCCCCACCCCCGGTCGCCTTGGTGCCATCCCTGGTGCATTCAAACTAAACCNGCATTCGGAACTCCTCGACAATTTCCGGCTATCTTCCGAACGCCTTGAAACTAGTCTCGGATGTATGACAGTAAAAAATGTCGCCTACGCACAACATATGTGATCAGGTCAAGAACCCGGATGGACGGCGCCGCATCACTAATGTATACCGCAATCAAAACAATATAGTTCCCCCAAAACACGTGGATCTAACAAATATGGCGTCATTCGACGAATGTATTGAATATGCACTATCTTCCTGCCCACTTTTTAAAGATCAAGACTTCAAACTACGTGAAAAACAACTGGAAACACTGAGGATATTGTCAAGGAGTTCTGAATGTCCTGTCAGGGCGCCGCCATGTTTATTATTGTTTACATCCGGGTATCTAGAGTAGTTCCAATATGGCGACGTCTGTCATACGGCCGAGATATGATGACGCAGGAATCAATCGACGGTGAGCCGAGTGATCATTTTGTTGTCTGCCATTTTGATAGTCATGTGATAGGCCAATGTGCTACCGCAGCGCCCTCTGGCGATCGATCGATGAATGATGAGGTGACGTTACAGGATCGACGAGAACTGTTAGACGATCGACGAGAATAGTTTTACGATCGACGAGAATAGTTACACGATCGACGAAAATAGTGACAGCATTGGTTTTAATACACCGTAGATGAGAAATGTTTGACTATTGAATTGACGAAAGTAGTTGTTGAATTTATGACAGGATCTATCTAAATTGCTTTCAGCGTAAAGCACTGTCTCTTTCCTCTCTATCGGCTCATCCCTCTCACTCTCACCCTTTCCTCGAAACCCCCCCCCCCCCGCTCTCTCATTTTCTCGCCTCAACCATTACATGCGTGTACATGTGGCTGCTACTTATTTACATACTAATAAGGTCGCGCGACAAGGTTATTTTCAGTTGCACCCTGGATTACGCAAGGTGTCGCCTGTGGTGGGGGGGCATCACAGCCCATATGGTTACTGTGGCGAAGGTGACAGGTACTTCCAAACATTTTTTCATAACTGTAATTTTTCCTCATTCTATTCATAAAATCGTAGCACGTGGGTAGTTACGCAAGACCTGTGACGTATAACGCGCGCAAGGTTATTGTTGTGCAATATAAACAGGTGATATGCATCTGTCTCGGGCATAGGTCTACCTATGGGCCTCTACAGAAAATAATAATTATGTATACAGAACAAACGCAAATTAGATAATAACATGTTTTGGGTGATCCGTCTTTTCCTGATATGCGAGGTAGGTGATCAAAATCTTAAGGGAAAACAGAAGCTTTATTTGTTTTTCAACATTATTCAAGGTTGCCTACTAAATGTGACGATGGTATTGACTTCGGTCTTTTGCTGACATGCGAAGTAGCAAATACGACTCAGTTATAGTCGTTCTTATTATTTATTAACTACGTCCCTGTTGTTACTCGCGCCGCTTCCAACATTTCTATTTCTACCTCTTGCAATCTTTAGCGGCCTTCTCTACGTTTACCTTACATTATAAATACCATAAGAGCATATCCTGTCATTTACTAACATTACATAAATTGCATCAGTTATTCTAACAGATCGAGGGGCTTGTAAATAAAAGCGGCCATCAGCGGCTAAGTTTTGAAGATGAAACTTGTGTATGTCTTAGGAAGCATACACATCGAGAAGAGCCGAGGTCTAACAAGGCCTCGACCTACATGAAAGGGAAACCGCTTAATCCTTTAATGTTCTCTCCGCCTCTCACACGGCTTCGGACCATGCGTCCGCCCTCGACCGGTTGAATTATGCCGAGATTGAATTACACCCCATTTCCATAGATTTTTAGATCGATCTATCCCTGTGGGGAGTCCCATTAGATTACTGTCAGCTTGGCCGGCTTAAGCGTCTGTCCCGCCTACTAAAACTGTAAGGGGGTAATTAACTATGGTGCCTGCTCGGCTGACTGCAATTTAGCGTGAACCCCCAGGGAGTTAGGTCGATCTAAATCTCTGGGAAAGCACCCATAGTGTGCCCCTGCAGGGACGACGCGCGGGTAGGCGTGTGAGAGGCAGAGAAACTATTAATGGATCAAGCGTTCTTCCTTTCATGTAGAACCGCCATATTTAGGTCGCGGCCTTAATAGACCTCGGCTCTTCTCGATGTGAATGCTCCCTTAAATTGTTGCTTTTAGTGTGCATTAAGAGACATAAAGGACACATACGTCATCAAAGGGATTTAATCTCGGCTCCGATGTTTAATTGCTAGGTCCCTGCAGCTACGACGCATGTGGAGGCGGGGAGACCGTCGAGAATCAGCGGCAGCTCTTGTGAAGTGTGGTCGGCCATATTTAGTAGGTGGATCAGTTAAAATACTCGGGTCATGTTTTCTGAATGGAGCCTTTATCTGTGTTTGTTATTCAACTTCTATTGAAGTGTCTAGACTCATATTTTGTAACTTACATCATAAGATACAGTGGCGGATTTAGAGGGGAGGGTTAAGGGGGACCTAACATCCCCCTTCCATTTCTCAAAAAATAACACTATTATTCCACCCTTGAAATTAGAGTTTTAACTTGCTGATTTATAGTCTTAACCGTTTCAAAAGGAACCGTTTGACCTTCAAAACACCAAAATATTTTGAGGCACTTTAGCGGGCCCAAACTAAATCTCAGCACAAAACGAAGTCACGGAACGTTCCGTGTCGTCTTCTAAAACATGGCCTCGTGTACGTCGTGAACTTCAACGCTGAAGATAAGACCATGTTCGGGGACTGGCGTTGCGCGAGATGAAATAATACGGCATCAGGGCTATCGATTGTAACTGCAGATGTAAACATGTACAACCAAGCTGGCCCTCTGCGTGATAAGGTAGAAGGTTTCCATTTGATTTCAAATCTACCAATGAAGCTTCTGCGGCTCCGTGTAATTCCGCTGTCTCAAACACAGCTAGCTTACCGCGGTACATGTATAGCCCTGCACGCGGGTTTTTATGCAGTATTTTTTCAAGATTTTTTTTTCTGAAAATTGCATTTAAAAGTAAAACGTATATTAGGTGGGAGGGTGGGTCAGGCAGAGTGCTGTCGTTGGCGTGCACCACCCTGAGCTTCAGAGCTAACTTGACACTAATAGTCTAGGAAATTGGTGAAAAATTGTGCATTTTTTACCTACAAGCATGAAATTTGGCACACTTATGGACAATAAAATTTTANAACGTACATGGTATTATCACCCTTAAATATCTGTAGCTATTGAATTTAGTGAAAGTAATCAGGATGCCACTGTTTGACTATTTATAAATACACTTATTGTTCTTACAGACATCGCCCTTTGAAGTATCAGTCTGATGAGGAGGCCAGATCTTGTTCAGATGGGTTAGTTTTAGTTATGTTATCATTAATACTCCCCCCCCCTGCCAATTTATCCATGCATCATGTATGTAAAGAGCTTTGTGTACATAGTTTTATATGTAGCGAACAAAGCAATTAGAGTCAAATGTCAATAGAAAATGCTATTTTATTTATAAAAAAAACCCCAAAGATAAAAGTCCAAGATTATTTCTGCACTGATACTTTTATCTTGATTGGGTTCCTTAATGGTATACAATGTTTTGAAATCCAGTGGTGAAAGCAGCCATGACAGACTTATATCGGAGAAAAGGGCAAAAGTGGCAGAGGTGCCCAAACTTCCAGCATTCCCACCTTCAAGGTAATAGTGGGTTACAAAATTGTTTTGCATTCAACAATATCGTACTTGTTAAATTCCAGAAATAACTAGTTGTTAGTTACTGCTAAATATGCCAAATTTAACATTTTCAAATATGAGGTAGTTGAATTTTATCGTATTTGTACATTACAAATAAGGACATTCATTATTTGTGTTTAGAATGACTTTGGAGAATGAAGAGGTGTTTGAAGATGAGACATCACAAATACCTAGTACCTCTTCATCAACAGGGTAAGTCAAAATCACACATTTCAAAATTGCACTTTGTCATCACAGAATGTAAAGGAAAATGTTTTTATGCATCTAAATTCTTTTGAGAATTTGAAGTGCTGTGTTTTACTTTAATTGTGTAGTTTTCTTCATCATTACTTTTCAGAAACAACCCAAGAACAGTGTTTGGACAAAAGAGAATGCCTGCAAGGTAAGTACGTGTAATCAGATGCAACAGATGTTATTACTTCCTATCTGGAATTGATCAGAAAAGCAGTAAATTCAAATATCAAATATCAATATGTACATAATATTGTTCACTCTGCTTGAATTCACAGAGCCAGTGTAAGTGCAATTAAAGATGGTGAAGTGACAATCCCCACAGATCAAATAGAAAGGTGATTAATAGGACAACATAATATGGAAACATTGGTAGTTTATAACATACCAAACTGTGAAGAGATAATGCAGTTTGCATTTGAGTTGTTTTGTGTTCTATCGTTTTACTAAAAATATTCTTAAGTTTTTTTTTCTGAAAATGTTGGTTTAAAAAAGGAAAGATCGGTTTTAATTAAATTAAGACTAGCCATATGGAGGTGTACATGATGCATTTTAATAGTCATTATAAGGTATTTTCATCAAATTCCAATCTGCTTTTATTTTTACTGAGAAATTATTTGTGTTACGATTTTCAGAGATCGTTTAATCTTCACCACCCTACTACAGATAAAAGCAATGGTGAAGAATAACACCATTGCTCTTTCAAGGTTAGAGCAAAAATTGAAAGAGAAAAGAAGTCCTGATGTCAATATTGTCTCAATTGAGGAGTTTGGATTTCCCATGGAAAGTAAAGAAGATATGTCAAGAGTGGAAGTTATGCTCAAAGATAAGCAAAAAATGAAATTACTGGTAAGTTTTATAAAATAATAATAATAATAGTATGATTAATGTAGTGATTGTTGTGCTGAAGCTACATACGGAATAAATAATTAAGCTGATTTTTAAAGTTGATGTTGTTTGATAAATGATTAATATACAATTTTAATCTGAACACTTATCATTTGTTGTATATATATATATATATATATATATATATATATATATATATATATCTGCTTTACTAATTAAGAAGGTTTTATATTTATTTCAATAGTCAAACCACCTTGCCACTCTGGGAGGGTTTTCCACCAAAGAAGTAGTAGATAGAATCATGAGTAATGTTTTCAAAACTAAGCTAGCATGCCAGTGTAACTGGGTTGGTAAGGGAGGAAAGGTGGCATTAAAGAACCTTGCAATAACAAAAGCAATGAAAGGTTTGCATTATAATTATCAAATAATGTTTGCTCAGATACATTTTACATATCAACTGTATTATAATGATCCAGAAGTGAAGTTACAGTTCAAAATATAAAGGTTATTTCTTCTAAACAACTATTTTTTTATGGTTTTTACATATTTTTTCTGAAGGATAAGCACATATCAACCTATTTCTGTCCTTTGTTCACACCATTCTGTTTTGTAACTCCTGTTTTAACCATTTTTGTTTACTGTCCAATTAAACATTGTTAAGATAGGAGGATTAAGTTAAAGTTTTATATATCTTCACAGATGCAGGTAGATCCAGAGCCACGGAAGCAGAACTTGACACTTCTATCAGATTGTGGCTTAAGAATGCCCACGATAGGGATGGTGGAAGAAAATTAAGGGCCATCAAAAAAGAAGGTAAGTACATATTAAAATATGTTGTTATTGCCTTATAGTCATAATAATTATGATAAATGTGTGGAAAGAAATTGTGCTTGACCATGCCTCAATTGCCTTTTTTTAAGCTTAACCCCTCTTTAACAAATATATTTATATTGCATGACTGTGTATTCAGTTACAAATGATATTTCTGTAATTCTGGTATGTATATAGTTAAGTTCAAACATACAAAAATAAAATAGTATAATTGAAAATTATTCCTTTTCAGCAAGAGACAGACAGTTAGCACTTGCAGAACAACATAATAGGTCATTTGATAGTAGCACAAGTGAAGAGTCCGACTAGTTTCTCAAAAGCTCATTTGTGTGCTACCACTACAAATGTAATGAAAGGAAAACTGTGTTGCATATTATTTTGTAACTTAAAAGAATGGCTCATAGAATTGACATACAGGTCAAAGTGGAAAGCCAGCTTGATTGGGTTATTATTGTATGAAATGTTCATTTTAAAATTTCTGGAATTTTCAAAGTATGAACTTGAACTTCCACGGGCCTGAAGCCTTAAGTTAGTTACACTTTACATCATACTTGATTAGTTCCATTCTGTTTTGCATTATTAAAATTTGATGTTGACTTTGCTGTAAATGTATTAATGCATCAGAATTGACAGTTTGCCATTTTGTGCATTAATTTTTTCTGCTTTTTTGTCCATACATTTGACAGCTGTGCTGTCTTGTAGCAATTTTTTGATGAAATTTTCATATTTTTCATTCTGATATTTGTGTGAACTTGAACTCCCATTGGCTGAAGCCTTTGCTTTTACCTTTATCAGCATTACCAGTTGTGCATAATTAAACTTTGTAGTTAAGCATAATGTATTATTGCATCTGAATTGAAAATATCCTTTTTGTGCATTGTGCTTTGTTGTCTTGTGTTATTATATGTGAAATAAAAGTGATAAGTGATAACCCTATCTCTGACTTGTTTCTTAATGCAAAAGGAGATAAAAGATAAATAATATTACCCTAATTAAAGATTGATTAAATGAAATAAATGAAAAAAAACCCTGTAAAACAATCGGTGGCTTACCAGTGGCTTGCCGCTGGTAAGCCACCATAAGCGGCTTGCCACCGGTGGGCCACCGGCTATTAGCTGGACATTCCACCGGTGGCCCACCGGTGGCTGCCACCGGTGGCCCACCAGTTGCGCTACCGGTGGCCCACCGGTGGCCCACCGGTGGCATGTTATCTGGG